TTCAGTTTTGGCCAAAGTCAAGCAGCTGGACGCTCCCTTGCGAGCTCTTGTGAGCTTCATGCGTTTGCCGTGGCCGCAGCTGGTGGAGCAGGAGCTCCAGTTGGTCTCCATTGTGTGGCAGCCTGCAGCAGCAGCAGCAGCAGCAGCAGCAGCAGCAGCAGCAGCAAGTGTAGACCAGTAAGGCGGGTGGCGACGAGCATTTATATATATATATTTATATATATATATATTTATGTTTTTTTGCTTGTTTATATAATATATTTATATATGTATATAATATGTATATATATTTATTCGTGTTCAGAAAAAAAATTAAATGTATATATATGTAATGGCCACCTTAACACTTGTAGGTGAAAATGGAATACAGCAATTAATACAGCAGCAGCAGCAGCAGCAGCAGCAGCAGTAGCAGGCGGCTTGCCTGTGAGTGGTTGATCGTAGATTCCGGAAATGATCTTCAAAGGATTTTTTGCAAAAAGATCTTTTCCTTCTGAATACTTTTGTGCACTTCGCAAAAACATTTTCATCGCCAAGTCTTTGTGCTCTGCACTTATGCGCGGGTCCACAGACATCGCCGCCTCCGCAGCCTTTTCTGCACACAAACCCTAAACCCTAAACCCTAAACCCTAAACCCTACACCCTAAATCCTGAAGCTTAGGTCCTAAATTCTGAAGCGTAGGCCCTAAACGCTAAGTCCCAAGCCATTAACGCGAAACGCTAAACCCTAAACCCTAGGTTCTGAACGCTAAACCCTAAACCCTAAACCCTAAGGCGGAAGAGCAGGAAACCACGAGGCAGCCGCGCATCGCCGATCTAAATGTGTTTTAAATTGAAATATATTTAATTGTTCAATTGTTTTATTATTTTAATTATTTAATTTGTTTTATTATTTCATTTATTTTAATTTGTGATTTACCGTCTTCGGAAATGTAATCGCTGGGAGCCATTTCTGGCAGAGGCGGCTGAGTGAAGACAGCACTTGCTGCGCAGAGTCAAAAAGGACAGCAGCAGCAGCAGCAAAACCCTAAACCCTAAACCCTAAACCCTAAGCCCTAAGCCCTAAATCCTGAAGAACCCTGAACTGTAAACGCCAACTCCCAAGCCACGAGCCCTAAGCCCTAAACCCTAAACCCCAAACCCTAAACCCTAAACCCTAAACCCTCACCCTTGGCGTCTTCGTCGACCTGCTGGAAGAGCTGCAGGGCCTCCTGCTGCAGCTGCTGCTCAGTTTTGTTTTCTGCGAACCTCAAAGAAGTTGTTGGAGGTAATTCATGAGGCTTTAAAACAACTTTCTTTTTAGGAGTTCCAGTTTGCTTCCTGAGGAGTGCAGCAGCAAGGTTTTTCTTGGCCTCCTCCTCGCGCTGCTGCTGCTGCTGCTGCTGCCGCTGGCGCTCTTCCTCCTTTCTTTTTGCTTCCAGCTCCTGCTGCTTCTTCTCCTCCAGCTCCTTTTGCTTCCTCCTTTCCTCCCGCTGCTTCTTTCTTTCTTGCTGCTGCTTCTTTCTTTCTTCTTCTCTTTCTTTTTCTCTCCGAGCTTCCAACTCTGCCAATCTGCTGCGGCTCTCTTCAGCAGCAGCAGCACGAAGCCCCAGCCGCTTCACTTCCCGCAGCAGGGGCCCCTCGGCGGGGGCCCCCGCGAGGCCCGCTTTGCTGAATCTGGACCAAGAAGCAGCAGCAGGGGCAGCGGGAGCAGCAGCAGCAGCAGGAGCTGCTGCGGCGGGAGCAGCAGCAGCAGCAGCAGCAGGAGCCTCCGGCCTGTACAACTCTGCCAAATGAGACAACTTCGCTCGAACTCCAGGACTTAATCCTTCTTTCTTATTTGCTGCTACCAACTTCGCAAAGTTCGCAGCCACAGGAGCTGGCGAAGTCCTCGGGGCCCCTGAGAAGCAAAATAATTCCAAGGATAACTCTCTTGCAGTGCTGCTGCTGCTGCTACTGCTGCTACTACTGCTGCTGCTGCTGCTATTGCTGCTGCTGCTGCTGCTGCTGCTGTTGCTGCTGCTGCGGGAAGCTTGAGTGCGTGCGCTAACCTGAGGTTTGCGGCTGCTGCTGCTGCGGCTTGGAAGCCAGCAGCACTTTGAAGGCTTTTCTGGTGGAGCTGGTCCCTTCAGAAGGAGTTGTTAAGAAAGCGGCGAAGCTGGGGGCCTCCAGAGGGCCCCGCTGCAGAAAGTGGGTACTGGAGGGCCCCCGGGGGCTCCCGGGGCTGTCGGCCTGAGCACACGCCGCAGCAAACACAGGTCCAGAGTGGTCCACTGGTCACTCCCGCGTGGGCAGTGGTCCTTTGTGCACAGGGGCCCCTGAAGAGGGCCTCTTGGGGCCGCCGGGGCCCCACTTGAAGCAGCTAATTGTCACGGGGGCCCCTAAATGCAAAAGAAATAAGTCTTACTTCATTTTGGAGGCGCTGGGAGGCCCAGATTGCTGCTGCTGGGGTGTACGCGGAGCCCTGGAGGGCTGGCTGGAGGCCCCCAGCGGCTCCCCCGCGGGCCGCAGCAAAGTCTAGGGCCCCCGCGAAAGGCAGAAGGTGGAAAAACAAAAGAAAAGCCCAAAAGAAAGGAGGTTTGGGGTATATGTTGGTGGGTGGTGCGTTTGTGCGGCGGTGTTCAGCAGCAGCAGCGCGGCGGGCGGCGCTGCTGCTGCTGCTGCTGCCCGCGGGCTGCTGCGGCTGGATCTTGCGGCCTTTTGCCGCCAGACAAGCGGCTTTGCTGCACAAAAAGGAGAAGGTCTTCGAAAAGTCCGCTTGGACGCAGTAAGAAGAGCCCCTGCTGCTGCTGCTGCTGCTGCTGGCGGCAGCGCCATCGACCTGCGCGCTGCTGGCAGTCTCGGCGCGCGAAAACCCCGATGGGCTGGCGGCGGAAGCAGCAAAACTCATTGAAATATCATAGATCGCTGCGATGGAAAACCTAAATACACAAAAATAGGCCAAATTTAAATGTAATTGCTGCGGAATTGCTGCGAAATCGCTCGCTGCTGCTGCCCGCGCCGCGCAGCGCCGGCTGCCGACGCAGCAACACTGTACAGCTGCTGCTGCAGCCACACTGCAGCAGCTCCCTCCGCTGTCCTGGCTTGAAAAGTTCTGTCAAATATTTCCATTTATTTTTTTTTATATTTCCAAATTAAAATCCAGCAACTTAGCCCCGCAGGGGCCCCGCTGCTCCAGCAATTTGATTCAGGCTAGCGGGCGCGCGTGAGCCAATCGACCCGCAGCGGCCCACCAGATTCAAAGTATACTATCGATAAAAGCCCCTTTTTAAGTCTAAACATAAATTAAAATATTTAGTTTATTCCTAAAAGCGAGAATGGGAG